TCATTGACGGATGCTCAACTATGTTCATATTTCAAGTTTCCTTGGGCTGAGGATCCGGATCATTGTATCTATCCGGCTCATAGTAGAATTGCAACTGAGCATGGATAAGATGAGCAACGTTGGTGGTGGAGTATCTCGAAGGAAGGTAAGTCTGACCCTCAAACCTCAAAGTCCTCTTACATAAATCATCCGGCTATGCGGTATTTCAACCGAATCCTCACATACGCTCTTTACTCCAAGGACTCTTTGGGAGCTATCTCCCGTGAGGAGCTTTGTTGGTTGTGGATAGTCGAGCAAAATGACTTTGATATTAAGTCGGTGGATTTCACGGAGCATTTGATCTCTCGATTCTTGGATATTCGTGATGGAGTTTGCTTATCAAGGTGCATCCAATTGGGTGGGATGATTTCTATCCTAGCTCTTTACATCAATGATGATTACAAGACCATGTTAGATGAGCTGCCCACCATCATTGATCCTCGAGAAAAGTCTCCCTCTCATTTCCTAAACATCTCAGCCCTAGTGAATCAAATATTTCTTGATCGAACAAGGAAGGAAGATGTTTTCATCGTATAAGGAATGTTTCCTCATCCCTTGGAAGGAAGCAACTACTCAACCCGAGGAGAGAGATTCTTTGTCCTGGAGGCCCCCGGTGCGAGATGTTCATCCGTCTATCCAACGAAGGAAAAATTATACAAGAGGTCGTTCAACCAATGCGTGCTCATTGATTTCTCATTCTCTTTCCCCGGTTGAACCGGGAGGTACACCTACACTTTCCCCCTCTCGCACTCCTTCTACTTTTGATATGTCGACATTTCATGCCAAGCTTGATTCTATTGCTAACATGTTGTACTCCATGCCTTCTGTGCAACCCTCTTCCCTTGGTTATGATTACCATACGTATCGATATATGATTTGCATGTGTGGAGGGGGGAGTTAGAACCTTACGTCAACTATCCGTACCTCCCAATCCACCAAGGACCTGTCCCTTAATGGGAACCTTTTGATCCTGCTGTGGGTCCTAGACTTTGTTACCCTTATTGGGAGGGCCTCATATTCACCCTAGTTATGTCATAGGCACTACCTTGGGCACTTACGACTATAGGCGACCTGGTTGTTGTAATTATGCGTATGATCCAGCTAATCCTTCGCCTTTTCCGGACCCCGGGACTTTTGGTAGGTGGGGTAGGTCAGGTGAGCCAATCTTAGATGATTGGACTCATTATTTTTAGCTTGATAGAATTAGCAGGGAAAGTCGGTTAAGGGGTAAGGCTCCCATGGAGGTGAGCGAGATGGCAAGCTCTAGTCATTTGATGAAGATCGATGAGGGGAGTTCTCATTATACCCCTTACTATAATGCGGAATGATACTACCATGCCCCCCCCCCTTCTTTTGTGCTTTATATAGTGTTTCTCTTTTGCATATATGTGTTTCGGTTTAGAGATAGGGGGTGGCCCATTTTGGGCTTGGGGGTATTTTAGGTCGTTTGTTGTTGTGCTTAGTTGATTTCCCCCCTTGCTTTTGTAGTTCATTCCTGGTCTCTTCTGCTTTTGGTATCGATCTTTGCTTCCTTTAGTGTTATGATGATGGTGTGCTTCTATTGATTTTTGTGCCCGACTTTTTGGATTTGTTGTTTGATTTGCTGATCGCTGTCTGATGCGTTTCTCAATATCTTTGTTATGATGATTCCTGATGATGATTATTTGATGTCTTGCTTCTTGTTACTTTTTTTTATATGATGTCTCGTTGGATATTACTCCTATTGCTATTTGCTTTCTCTTTATTTTCATTATTTTATGTTCTTCCTTTTATTTTGTTTGATTTTGTTTTGAAGTTACTAACAAATTTCTTTGTATATAGTTCTTTATTTCTCACTGTGCTCTATTGCTTAAGCATTGGATTTCAACGATTCGTAAGGTGGTCTTTCACCTTGATTATGTAGCATAGCTTTGGCGCTCGGTGAGATCTTTCTATATCTCTTCTCTTTTTTTCTTTGTTGCTTAGTTTGGGATTAGCTTTAGGATGAGTTGAATGGTTCAAGAATGTTTGCTTTGTAATATCTAGTGTGTTTGGGGTCATTGACGTTGTTGCCGAATGATCACTTGTTTGAAAATTAGGTATTACTTGTCTTTGCTTGCATTCTTGTGCTTTTCACTTTTTATTTTAATTTTTAGCTCTTTTCCTTCTTTCAATTTAAAATAAAACATTTTTTAGGCTTTTCTTCTTCTTTTTTCTTGTTTCGCTCTTTCTTTGGACATTCTCCTGTGCATGTATGCTTTCCAATGTTTAATTGGTGTGCATGTTTTGAGAATATTTGCGGTTGACTCTAGGATAGGGTATGCTAAGGTAGTTGTTTAGACCTTTTGGGCTCTTGAAGCCGGATTCCATTGGGTGTGTGGTAAGACGGAATGATTCCTTTGGTTGATTTGATGCCGTTAGTGAGGTTTTGCCACATCCATGTGAGGTTCAATATTTTTCAAGCCTTCAACATCTATTTGAATGAGGGGCATGGATCCTTGACTATTGCGGACCTAATCTAGAATCTTGACACATAATTCTCAAACTCTAGACCAAACTAACTAGGGAGGACAAAGGCATCTTTTCGGGGTGGTAATTTTTCATTTCAGGGATTTTTATTTCTTTTTAGTTCATTGGGTTTACATTAGCCATCTTGCAAACCAATTGAGCCTTTTCCCTTTTTTTAAGCCACATCTTTAAATATTGAGCGTTTTGTTTCATTTTCGTTTCCATTATTGGTTTTTATGAAGCAATTGATCATTATTGTTAGAGTTTGTGGTGAAGAAGTTTGGGTATTTGGTTCTCTTGAAACCAAATTTATGTTGTGATATATGTTTGAATAATGGCAAATGAATAAGTAAAGCCGTCCAAAGTAAAACAAAAGGCAAGGACAATGCAATTGCAATTTTGTAAAAGTCGTCCTACATTTAAGAGGCATGGACATTTATTTTGTTATAATAAAAAAAAATAACAAAAAAATAAAATAAAATAAGTGGATTATGAGAAAATCTAATAATATTTTGATGTAATTTCTTTTCCCTTTTCAAGCATTGAGGATAATGCTTCCTTTTAGCTTGGGGGAGAAGCGTTTACGCTTTTTATATATATCCTTGGTTGATATAGCTTTGAATAAGCTTGGGGGTGTTAGGTTGTTTTTGTTTGGTGACTACTTGATTGTGATTCTAAGAAAGGGCCTGTTCTTTGCTTCACTTTTAGGGAAACCACCAAATTTTAAAATTTTAGCCTACCCCTAACCTTTTGCCCTTACGTTACAACCTTTGGAAAAGTCCTTTTGACCTAGTGGTTGAGTCATATACCGAGGGAGGGAATTATGAGTTAATGCCTAAGGAAAAGGGATGCAGGGTCAAGATGTCAGGAAACCCTAAAAGTTCTATTCTTTTTTCAGTTCCTTCGAGGAACCATAGGGACACTCAGTGGCAGAGCCACCCTTGTGCACGGTGGGTCACGGGACCTAGCAAAAAAAAAAAAAAGAACCATTAAATATTAAACATTGCAATTAATAATAACATGTGCCCATTAGTCTAGTGGTTAAGGCCTCACTCCTCTATACTGAGGGCACGGGATCAAAGCCCAACAACAACGATTCCTTTATTCTTTGCTTTCTTTCTTTTTTTTTTTCCTTTTTTTCTCGGTTCCTTTCTTTGTTCTTTCTTTTTTTGCTTTATTTTTTATTCCTTTATTTGTTCTTTCTTTATTTTTGGTGGAGGCATAATATAATTTTGTCAAATCACTACTACAAAAATGCTCAAAGAGACCTTTAGTAAGAGATCATTTAAATAAATATGTGGTCTCTTGGATTCAAAAGACCAAATATTTCAAATAAGTGGTCTCTCCTTTTTTAATTAAATAAATTAAAAAATAGAGATAATTTATTTAGGAGAAGTGGTCTCTCCTTTTTTTTTAATAAATAAATAAATAAAAGAGAGACCATCTATTTACAAAAAGTGGTCTCTCCTTTTTTTTCATTAAATAAATAAATAAAAGAAAGATCATCTATTTACAAAAAGTGATCTCTCCTTTTCTTTTAATTAAATAAATAATAAAAGAGAGAGGCCATTTATTCAAGAGAAATGGTCTCTCTTTTTTTTATAATTATTTTTAAAAAATAAAACCTTTGATAAGATCTAATAAAAAATGGAGTAAAAATATATAAACCGGTGAAAACCCTAACTCCATCCTTATGCTCATCAGCCGCCACCCTTCTCTCTCCAGTTTCATTTCGATCTGATTTTCCTCCTCAATTATTTCTAGATCTCTCCAAGTTTCATTCATCATGCCGTCCGTTTACGCCGATCGTATGATTACATTCGAGGATTCTGAGAAGGAGAGCGAGTACGGTTACATTTGTAAGGTAATTGATTTTTTTATATATATAAATATCATTGATTTTTGTTGTTTTACTTTGTTTGATCTGCTTTTATTGAAGTATTATGCCTTAATTCTTTCGATTTTGATGATTGTTTTGTTTATTTTAATGTTGTTGGGATCAAAGCCCAACAACAACGATTCCTTTATTCTTTGCTTTCTTTCTTTTTTTTTTTTTTCCTTTTTTTCTCGGTTCCTTTCTTTGTTCTTTCTTTTTTTGCTTTATTTTTTATTCCTTTATTTGTTCTTTCTTTGTTTTTGGTGGAGGCATAATATAATTTTGTCAAATCACTACTACAAAAATGCTCAAAGAGACCTTTGGTAAGAGATCATTTAAATAAATATGTGGTCTCTTGGATTCAAAAGACCAAATATTTCAAATAAGTGGTCTCTCCTTTTTTAATTAAATAAATTAAAAAATAGAGATAATTTATTTAGGAGAAGTGGTCTCTCCTTTTTTTTTAATAAATAAATAAATAAAAGAGAGACCATCTATTTACAAAAAGTGGTCTCTCCTTTTTTTTCATTAAATAAATAAATAAAAGAAAGATCATCTATTTACAAAAAGTGATCTCTCCTTTTCTTTTAATTAAATAAATAATAAAAGAGAGAGGCCATTTATTCAAGAGAAATGGTCTCTCTTTTTTTTATAATTATTTTTAAAAAATAAAACCTTTGATAAGATCTAATAAAAAATGGAGTAAAAATATATAAACCGGTGAAAACCCTAACTCCATCCTTATGCTCATCAGCCGCCACCCTTCTCTCTCCAGTTTCATTTCGATCTGATTTTCCTCCTCAATTATTTCTAGATCTCTCCAAGTTTCATTCATCATGCCGTCCGTTTACGCCGATCGTATGATTACATTCGAGGATTCTGAGAAGGAGAGCGAGTACGGTTACATTTGTAAGGTAATTGATTTTTTTATATATATAAATATCATTGATTTTTGTTGTTTTACTTTGTTTGATCTGCTTTTATTGAAGTATTATGCCTTAATTCTTTCGATTTTGATGATTGTTTTGTTTATTTTAATGTTGTTGGGATCAAAGCCCAACAACAACGATTCCTTTATTCTTTGCTTTCTTTCTTTTTTTTTTTTTCCTTTTTTTCTCGGTTCCTTTCTTTGTTCTTTCTTTTTTTGCTTTATTTTTTATTCCTTTATTTGTTCTTTCTTTGTTTTTGGTGGAGGCATAATATAATTTTGTCAAATCACTACTACAAAAATGCTCAAAGAGACCTTTAGTAAGAGATCATTTAAATAAATATGTGGTCTCTTGGATTCAAAAGACCAAATATTTCAAATAAGTGGTCTCTCCTTTTTTAATTAAATAAATTAAAAAATAGAGATAATTTATTTAGGAGAAGTGGTCTCTCCTTTTTTTTTTAATAAATAAATAAATAAAAGAGAGACCATCTATTTACAAAAAGTGGTCTCTCCTTTTTTTTCATTAAATAAATAAATAAAAGAAAGATCATCTATTTACAAAAAGTGATCTCTCCTTTTCTTTTAATTAAATAAATAATAAAAGAGAGAGGCCATTTATTCAAGAGAAATGGTCTCTCTTTTTTTTATAATTATTTTTAAAAAATAAAACCTTTGATAAGATCTAATAAAAAATGGAGTAAAAATATATAAACCGGTGAAAACCCTAACTCCATCCTTATGCTCATCAGCCGCCACCCTTCTCTCTCCAGTTTCATTTCGATCTGATTTTCCTCCTCAATTATTTCTAGATCTCTCCAAGTTTCATTCATCATGCCGTCCGTTTACGCCGATCGTATGATTACATTCGAGGATTTTGAGAAGGAGAGCGAGTACGGTTACATTTGTAAGGTAATTGATTTTTTTATATATATAAATATCATTGATTTTTGTTGTTTTACTTTGTTTGATCTGCTTTTATTGAAGTATTATGCCTTAATTCTTTCGATTTTGATGATTGTTTTGTTTATTTTAATGTTGTTGGGATCAAAGCCCAACAACAACGATTCCTTTATTCTTTGCTTTCTTTCTTTTTTTTTTTTCCTTTTTTTCTCGGTTCCTTTCTTTGTTCTTTCTTTTTTTGCTTTATTTTTTATTCCTTTATTTGTTCTTTCTTTGTTTTTGGTGGAGGCATAATATAATTTTGTCAAATCACTACTACAAAAATGCTCAAAGAGACCTTTAGTAAGAGATCATTTAAATAAATATGTGGTCTCTTGGATTCAAAAGACCAAATATTTCAAATAAGTGGTCTCTCCTTTTTTAATTAAATAAATTAAAAAATAGAGATAATTTATTTAGGAGAAGTGGTCTCTCCTTTTTTTTTAATAAATAAATAAATAAAAGAGAGACCATCTATTTACAAAAAGTGGTCTCTCCTTTTTTTTCATTAAATAAATAAATAAAAGAAAGATCATCTATTTACAAAAAGTGATCTCTCCTTTTCTTTTAATTAAATAAATAATAAAAGAGAGAGGCCATTTATTCAAGAGAAATGGTCTCTCTTTTTTTTTATAATTATTTTTAAAAAATAAAACCTTTGATAAGATCTAATAAAAAATGGAGTAAAAATATATAAACCGGTGAAAACCCTAACTCCATCCTTATGCTCATCAGCCGCCACCCTTCTCTCTCCAGTTTCATTTCGATCTGATTTTCCTCCTCAATTATTTCTAGATCTCTCCAAGTTTCATTCATCATGCCGTCCGTTTACGCCGATCGTATGATTACATTCGAGGATTCTGAGAAGGAGAGCGAGTACGGTTACATTTGTAAGGTAATTGATTTTTTTATATATATAAATATCATTGATTTTTGTTGTTTTACTTTGTTTGATCTGCTTTTATTGAAGTATTATGCCTTAATTCTTTCGATTTTGATGATTGTTTTGTTTATTTTAATGTTTTAGAATCAGTTGATTGTTAGTTGATTTGTGGTGATTAGGTTTTTTTTATTGTTGTTTTGACTTTTTTTTTATTTGTTGAATCATAGTTGATAGTAGTAGTTATGATTTGATGATTTATCGATTGTTTTTTGGTTTCATGATTTGGTTTGGGGATTTATGAATTTGAAGATTGCGGAAAGTGTTAGTTTTTATTTAATTTTGATTTTGCGATCTCACATTGCTTAACCTTGTTTTCGATTGCTTATTTAATTTTGATTTTGTTTTGATTTTGCGATCTTAATGAAGTTCTTTACATTTAGGCTCGTATAGTATATCATTTTTTTTTACTTGAATTACTTTCTGCCTTTACTCAGATTAGGATCTTCCTAATTATCATTTACTGTTTTATTTTTTAGCATGGACTGTGATAATCGACCTTAGACTCACTTGATCAAATGTGCTGACATTTTCAATTTAAAGAGTTTTAATTTCCTTTACTATTATAATTATTTGCTTATTTTGGTTGTCTTGGAAAAAATTTCAGGATAAAAAGTGTAATCAAAGAAGATTGATGATTTTGCTTGTTGAATGGTTCGATTGGCAAGATGTTGCACAAGATCTGTCAAGAACACCATTGTTTTTAGTATTTTTTTTTTACAATAGTATGGGTTTTGTACGTAGTATAATATTTTGCAAGTATATTGATGATTATTATCCAAATAATATGGGTCTTGTACCGTTGTACGTAGTATAACTTTTAGTATGAGTTATGTATAAATTTTAACAAGTACGAACTACTTGTATTTCGTTGTAAATTTAAAGTGCATTTTAATTTTTTAATTAAAATTACATATACTAATTGGAATACGAATAATTTTTTTTTTTAAAAAAAAAAGTTGCTGGAAAGAGACCATCTATTTAAAATAGGTGGTCTCAGTTTTTGAAAAACTAAGACCATCTATTTAAAATAGGTGGTCTCATATTTTGAAAAACTAAGACCACCTATTTGAAAGAGGTGGTCTTAGTTTTTGTAAAAACTAAGATCATCTATTCTAAATAAGTGGTCTCTCTTTTTAAAAACAAGAGACCACTTTTGATGAAATGGTCTCTTAGGCCAAAGAGACCTGTGAGCTAGAGACCACCCCTAAGGTAGTCTCTTTGGCTATTTTGATATGGTCTCTTTGGCCAATTTTGTAGTAGTGAATATCATACACTACCTATATGGCAATACATATTTTTTTAGCACGTGTTTTAAATTTATTTATTACTCCCTCCGTTTCATAATGTTAGTCCCATATATTATTTTGGGAGTTTAAAAAAGATCTACTCATATTGAATATATTTCATTTATATCTTGATTTTTTTTGGAATTAATTGATTGTGGATTAATGACATGACTCTAAGTAAAGAAATTTTTTACCTTAAATTATGCAATTATGACTTCTGCTTTCCTAATAAAAAATCAAAAACGTTAAATAAGGTAAACTAATTATGAATTATGTTGTATTTTAATGTTAGATTCCTAATATATTTGTTTTCTTATTTTATGTGATTAATTCTATATGGGACTAACATTATGAAACGGAGAGAGTACTTCCTAATTTTGAGAACGAATTTTTTTGATCACGTATTCTCACTAGGTAACTTGTTGAAATTTATTTTTTAATTTATTACCTTCATCCCTCAAATCTTACATTCTTAGTTCCCATTAGGTAACTTGTTAAAGCTCACCATTCTAAATCTTTTTGGCAATTTTATTGGTAATTTGTCATTATCCGTCACAAATCCTCCTCCTCTTCCATAAGATATTTTGACAAACTTTTAAATAAATCGAATGTACAATAAAATATTGTACATCCGTTATAAAGTTACTCTAAAATGGGTAAATATGACCCTAATATGAATAAAAGTTACTTTGGCATATATATAAGTTGCGAAGTATTTATGCTTTATTAATAAAAGTAACTCAAAATTTTTTAAAAGTGACCCTAAATTTGATAAAAGTGTCCTCTGTAATTCAGTAAATTATTGTACACCGGATGTATACAAAAGTTGTGAAGTGACATTTTTTTATTAGCTTTTGCCCAGACTGCCAGCGGAGTTAGTTATGGGTTCCGTACCCGTATCTGCGCGCCCGCGGAGTCTTGTTGGAAAGGACATGGCCGATCAGTTTTTCTTCTTTGTCGATATATACTCTTGTAAATCCTTTTGAAGGCGAACTTTTAGAGAATATTTCATTTGCTTAGTTTTATAGAGAGAAACTAGAGAGAAGTTAGAGAGAAAGTAAATATTGTAATCTTTGGATTTGAATTGTAATTCAACATTGTTTCATCAATCAAGTTCATGATTCTTCTTCATATTAATTAAAGTTTGTAAGATTTCTTTCCTTTGAATTTACTTCAATTGTAATTTACTTTTATTCTTGAATGTTTGATTTGGATTTTGAATTAGTTTTGAGAACTTGTTGATTGATTGTATTTCCTTTTGATTTAGTTTGAAATAAATGCGTTTGTGATTGAATATGTTTTAGCTTTAGAACTCAACATGATTAGTGAGTAGATTAGTTGTTAGGGAGAAGGGGAAGCATGCTTGATTTGTGATAATTGTTAGTTGATGATCCTTGATTGATTGATTGTTTCAATTAAAATTGTTGACATAGTTGTGCATGTGATTTATTAGACTAGGAGTGATCAACCTATAATATTAATCTAGATTGAATTGAAAATTCCAATGACACGAAAAATTGATTTAGGAATTGCTTTAATTGATTGTATTTGATTGTGATTCTCCTTGTTAATCATTCATAGTGAACCCTAGTTTGGTTTATAGGAGGTAACCTTTGAATTCCTTTGATTGCAACTATCGTTTGTCCCTTGCAATGTATGAATCAATTGGGTGATCTATCAATTATCATGATTGTTAAGCTTTCATGTGGAATCTATATCCCTAGTGTTTAGCAATTTGATTAAATTCTCGATTCTTGTTATCCTAGTTACCATACTCAACCACTGAAAACTCTTCAATTTAGCTTAACATTAGACTACAACATGGCTTTGATTCATTCCTTTGGGTTCGACCCTTAGCTTGCCTCTATACTCGTATAAGGTTTGTTAAGCGTTTACAAATTTAGTTTGACTTGGGGAGAATTAGATGATGACCTAGTTTTTTCCTTGTTAGTTAGTGTTACTATATATAAACTTTCCTTCTATTTTTAGGGAGAGAATTCAATGAGAGAAAATGAGATTTTGTTTTGAGATCAAATTTTAGAGAGAGAAACTCGAGTTTGTAGAGAGAGAAGTTCATGGTTGATGATTGATGATTCTAAGCACAGTTTCCATTGATTTCACAAAAGTTGGTAAGGATTTCTTATTCTTTAATACAATCTTTAGCTATTAATTTCAATTTTTTTTATTGATTTTTCAAGTTTGATTGATTTGTGATTGATTTAGTTTGATTAATATGATGATGATTAATTTGTTGTTTAGCTTAGTTTTAATCTTGATTTCCATGGATTGTGAGTAGTTTACTTGCTTGGGTGATGGTGAAGCATATATGAGTAAAAAATTGATGCTAATTGGGGAAATTGATGGAGTTGATGTTGTGATTAAATTGGTTGATTGATTATATGCATGTGTGTGATAGATTAAAGAGTAGCTAACTTTGATTGTTGCACTAGATTGCATTGTAAGTTCACATTGATACGGACAATTGATTTGTGACTTGCATTTGTCGATTGAGTTGGTTTGTTAAGTTCCTAGCTAGAGTCTCTCATAGGTGATGCTAGTTTGACCTCTAGGTGAATAGCTTATCATACTCTTTTGATTGCATTATTTATTTTCCCTCGCAATACTCGACTTAGTCAATTCCAATCTCGATTAGTGTTATCCATTGCAAGTATATGTGGATCCTAAACCCTAGTTTTTTTTTTATATATATTTCAATTCATCTAGTTTATTTAATTGTCTTAAAATACACACACCTCTATTTCACCTTTTCGAAATAGCTAAACTCTACCAATAGTAACCACCTCCCATTCCTAGTTGTTCGACCCTTGACTTGCTCCTATACTAGTTATAAGGTTGTGTTAAGTGATATAAATGTTGTTTGGCGAAGGAGATATTAGCCAACGACCTAGTCTCACCCCTTGTCATTGTTCCTCATCAGTTTGCTGGTGCTTTGCTAGAATGCTTGTTGTGCTGATGCTTTGGGGGTGATGACAGTCCTTTCTTCTTTAGGAATAGTTGCCAATACAACTCTTGAATAATGTAAGATAATCTGATTAAAGGAAAGTTGTCAATGCCACATAACAATCCATCCTAGGAAATGTTTCCACGATTAAACGACAATCTGTATCTCAGAAATTTTGCCAAAATCCTATTTTGGGAAAAGTTTCCAATGCTTTGTAACAATCTATCATAAGAACCTTTCTACGATTGACGATGCAAGCTAACTCGATAGATCTCGAAGAGCTGCCAGTTGGTGCTGATCCCAAAAAGCTCCACTATGTCCTTTACCACATCGGGTAATATCTTGAAACAAACTCTTAAGTTTCATCAGCCATACAACCGCATGCTGGGCTCGCTCTAAAAAACATATATATACAAAAAGTATGGTTACAAGTTTGAAAAATGAAGAAACGATGGTAAAAGAGACGGAGACACGAAAAGAACTCACTATGTCGCACCAACTCTAAATAGAAAGGTGATGGTTTGGGTCCCACTTAAGGACCTGAGGGTCCCAGTTGGGAAGAGCCTCCCTGGTCACATCCTCCTAGGCAACAAATTTGGGCTAACTTCCTTGCTAGGCACGAGTCCTCCTAGGTCCTCCTCAACTAGGATAAACGAAGGAGAATCCATGCTATTAAGGATAAAGTTCCTTATGAGTTTATTTTCTTCCTAACAGGAGAATACATGTGTTCTAGACTCATTTCGGCAACATAACGACTAACGAGAAGGAAAAACACAAAAATCAAATGCCACCCACGTTTGGGGGCTACGATATCTACAGTTAAGCTTAGTAAATGGGGGCTTTTAAAGACCCACAAAAGCCATCCTATACCAGTTTCAACTAAAATTATTCTAGGGATTATATTTCTATGTCTCAAAGAATCAACTACTTTTGGACAAATAATCATAACAGAAACATCATTATCGTCTACCAAACAATCTTGAGGTTCGAGCATGGCAAAAACAAGCTAAATGGAAACTTCGCCCAATTTTTTTGAATTTAAAATATTCAAAACATGATTCATGAGAGCAATGTAGTTCTGATACAATAATTTACTTCATAATCAATAAGTATAACATAAATGAGCAAGTAAAAAAATACCCAAGGGCTCGATTCAAAGCTAAAATGGGATTATGAACACTAATTTAAAATGAAACTCGAAGAAAAAAAGTCAAGAACGTACTTAAAAAAAGAAATGCTCAGATAAGACACAATAGTCAACCATTTTTCTGAAATTTGTTGCAAAAAAATCCTTAAAAATGACATAAAAACATGGAACAAACAATTTCAAGAATTATGGAGCAAAACAAAACCCCCCAAATTCGAAATTTTGGTGTTTTATGGTTCGAAAATCGCCCAAAATCAGCAAAAACGAGAACAAAAATTGATAACAACATACATTGGATTATGGAAAATATGAATAGACGATGATATTTGCTTCATTGGCTTCAAAAACAAAAGAAATTAAATCTTATTAGAGAGTGAAAGGAGCAAAAATGGCAAAGGACAGAGAGAGATAGAGCTAGATGAAAAGTCGCGCTCAACGATTTTCTTTTTGCTAATTTAAATGTCGCGCACAACTCAATCA